TAGCCTGTAAGCCTTCATTCCTTATCCTACAAAAAGATAAAGTGGTTTGCATCAGAGAATTTCATTCTGCCTGTTGTGATGCCGTAATATCAACTTTAAGAGATGGTTTTATGCATTGAGAGACACAGCTGGCTCTAGTACTTCCTAAAGGGATTGTGTTTCATGTTATGTTGCTTTGGTAAGGGTTATTAGATTGTACTTTACCAAATTCAGAAGGTTACCCAAAGAGTATGGTGCCATCAGTGGTGCCACCATTTCTTAATTGTTTTTTAAAATTATTTATCAGGTGAAGTGCAGAGCAGCACCCTTTCTAGTCACTGTTCATTTCAACAGAGCAGTTACTGTATCTTAGGCCTTTTGAAATCAAACCTTAGTGTTTCAGGTGTTCAAGGGGCTCCCTTGGTCATTAGTACGTACTTTTAAAATTAGTAGTAGATGCTAGTTTAGGCTGTAAAGTTTTGCAAGCGTACTGCTAACAAAAGTCCCACACATCCCACGAATACAGTTTTGTATTCAGAGAAAATAGAGCTGGAGATAGTAACCTAAAATTCTTTTCTTTGTGTCCATTAACCACTTGCCCTCCAGAGGATTTACCCCTCTCCCACCAGGCCTTTTTTTACTATTTCAGCTGGTAATTGCACGGCCATGCAGTGCTGTACCCAAACAAAATTGATGTCCTTTTTTTCACACAAATAGAGCTTTCTTTCGGTGGTATTTTACCACCTGTGCACTTTTATTTTTTGCGCTCTAAACAAAAAAAGACTGAAAATTAAAAAAAAAAAACAATAGTTGTATATTAAGTGGTTTGTGTGAAAGTTATAGCGTCTACAAATGGTAGTATAGATATTGGAATTTATACCATTTTTTGCTATACAGCACTGTGCTAGTTTAACTGACAATTGCGCGGTCATGCAATACTGTACATAAATAAAATTTATGTCCTTTTATTCACACAAATAGAGCTTTCTTTAGGTGGTATTTGATCACCTCTTGGTTGTTTTTTTTTTGAGCACTATAAACAAAAAAAGACTGAACATTTAAAAAAAAAAAACAATATTTTCTCACGTCTTTGGTAAAAAAAATCCCAATAGCTGCATATGAATTGGTTTGTGTGAAAGTTATAGCATCTACAAACTATGGTTAAGATACTGGAATTTACACAGATTTTACTTTCTGACTGCCTATCACATTTCTTGAGGTGCTAAAATACCAGGACATTACAAACAAACCCAAATGACCCCTTTTCGGAAAGTAGACACCCTAAGCTATCTGCTGAGAGTCATGTTGAGTCCATGGAAGATTTTTTTTTCCCCCACAATGGTTAATAATAAAACAGTAAAATGGAACAGTAGAACAGTAACTCGACAACAATAAAAAAAACTACAACTATCTATTGATTTTTAAAATGTTTTAATTTTATTTTGTACTTTTACTTTTTATTTTTATGGGTTTTATTACTTTTTTTACTTTAACCAGATTGTAGGGTCTCTCAAAATGCGATAGCCAGTTTCCTGACTACCTAGCATCTTTTGAGACCCTGTGCAAATATGTGCCCTGAACTGTGCCGTGCTGTTCGCTATACTAATACTCCACTAGTATGTGGTAGCAACGAAAGCAGTCCTTGAGGCAGAGACCAGGTTGGCCAGGACAGGAGGGACAAAAAAATCTGGAGTCATGCCTAATTCCATGTCTGCTACAGACACAACATCTTTTTTGGGGTGTCTATTGGGTTGGGGTACCAGGAATAGCATTGGGAAAATGCCTCTCATGCAGCCGACTAACTGCATCTAGGTTGGGGGTTTGGGCCATAGCACCTTCTGGATACAAAAGGGCCATGATGATCTCTTCCTGGAATTTCAGGAAGGATCCACTACGTCCAGTTGCTTTGCAAAGCACAAACGCATTACATAGAGACAATTGAAATAAATAAACAGACACTTTTTTGTACCAGCGTCTGGCTTTTTGGAAAACTAAGTACAGCTTCATCATCTGGTCGTTGATGTCCACCCCTCCCATGTTAAGGTTATAGTCACAGAGGAGCTTCTCAACAACACCAGCTACCATGGCAATTTGGATGGTCATGTCTGCGTGAATGGAAGACAGGACGAAAACATCCCGTTTGTCCTTCCACTTCACTGCGAGCAATTAATAATTTCTTAAGCAGACTTTTCCCCCCTTTCCAGGATGGGTATTTACAAGCTGTTGGGGGAAGCCTACTTCTAATGGTGGGCACACCATTAGAAGATAGTCCCAAACTATCTTGCCACTGCTCCCCATGTAGTCTGGGCATCCGGGGGGGGGCTCCATGTGACTATCTTTTCCCTCGTAAATCTGAAATTTATATGTATTGCCTGTTGCCCTCTCACAGGTCTTATACATCTTGACCCCATATCTGGCATGCTTTCTGGGGAGAAATTGTTTGAATGGAAGGCGGCCAGAAAACTAATGAGGGATTAATCAACACAGATGTTTTGTTGGGGAGTATACACATCTGCAAATTTTTGGTTGTGATTTATGAGGGGCTGAATGAATTTTGTGGAACCGGTCAAATTCAGAGTCGACAGAGTGTATTGTTGTTGAAATGCTTTATGCATTTTGTTTTATACGCATTATATTCTCATATCTATGCCTGGCCATGGCAGCAGAGAACACGGGCATATGATGAATCGGGTCTGTGGACCAATACAACCACAATTTAATTTTTTTTAGTAATGCCTATGTTGAGGGTTAGGCCAAAAAAAAAACTTTAAATTCTGAAACTGTAATGGGTTTCCCTGCAAATGGTCTGGCAAGGTTTGAATTTGGGTTGGCGGCGAAAAACTGTTGTGCATATAAATTGCTTTGATCCACAATCAATGCATACAGATCTTCCGTGAAAAACAGCTCCAAAAAATCAAGGGGAGTAGTTAAACTTGCTGTTTCCACCTGAATTCCAGGTTGGGCAATGAAGGGGGGGGGGGAAGTACGGGTGCTGCAGAATTTGTGGGCTGCCAATTGGGATTTGCAAGCACATCCGGAAGGACACTATGGGCTCTACGAGCCTGTGTGCGAATTCTTGGTGGCTGCATAAAAAATGTGTGCAAATGCATATTCAAAAAATCATCCGGAATACTGAAATTGTGATGCAAGCAAAATCTTACACCACCACAGTGCTTTCATGCACACTTCAAAAAAAAATACTGCATGCTGCATTTTTTTCGCACTGAAATGCCCCAAAAACATATGAATGCATGCAAATGTATAAAAACGCACACTGCGAACATGCACAAATGCACCACAAACACACATGAACACGTGCAGACATATGTAAATGCAACTTAGTAAAGAAATAAATTGAAATAAGTGAAAAAAGTCCAAAACGTACTGAAAACACATTGCAGACGCACTGAAAATGTACGCAAGTGTGCATGCAGAAACACACAGTGAAACACAGAGTTTATGGTGTAAATGAGCCCTAATGCAGGCCATAGACGGGTTGAGAACAGGCCATTTAAAAAAAAAAAAGAAAAATCGGTCTTTCAATAGGCCGACGTTACCACCAACGATAAAAAAAATTGGCCGATTTTCGTCCCATCTATGGCCGGTATTTAATTACTTCTGTCCCTTGCAGAGAACTCCGCTATTATATTTGACATATTTGCGATTGCAACAATGTATCTATTTGTATTCATTTCAGATACAGATGTTTTTATTCGGATACAAATAGATACAGTACATTGTTGCAACCGCAAGACTTTTTCATGTCAAATATAATAGCGGACTGGAATTCTTCTTTTTCTTCTTCTTCTTCTTTTTTTCTTCTTCAGCCGATTTTTTTTCCAACTTTACCAATAAAAAAAATGTGCCAAAACCCCGAAAAACAGCCAATTAACCCATTAACGCTGCAAAAATTGACCCATTTTTGTTTCGGCCGAAAACTCGGCCGATTTTCGACCCGTCTATGGCCTGCATAAGAGACAGCTCTCCCCTCTGGTTTTTATTACACTGTTGCCTATGTTGGGAGTACATTGCTCTTTGTACTGCTTGCTACTGACTGAGCTCTCTAGCAGAAGTGAGGTCTAGCCATAGGGTGGTATGGCCCCTGGATTGCTTTATTAGTGCACCCAGCTTCCTTCTCCTGAGAGTGACAGCATAAACCTACAAATCCAATTACTTGTATCTCACACTTGTCTTCCTCTGGATCAATTGTGGGTATAGAATTAATTTTGTATTGGTGGAACTGGAAGGTCTTTTGTCTTTTATCAGCCAGACTAACTATGTAACTATGTAACAATGAATAAAAAAGAAAATACATTTGTGGTTAGTAAAAAAAGGTTCTATTTTTTTTCATTAGTAATAGAGTGGAAAGGGGTTAGAACTTCTGTCAGGTTTTTATTGTTCAACAGAGGTAAAAAATAAAAACAAGCATCTGCTTTGTAATTGATTGGTAAACCTCTGCAAAATGACAAAACCACCCAACCCTCTAGGTCCCTCACTTTGACTGTCTGCTGTCTGCAGTTGGGTTGTTTGCTGCACCTGCATCCACCGCTCCTAGATGGCCCCATGTGCAAGCGGCCCTTTAGAGAAATAATTATATATTTTTCATATCCTTCCCTGGTCAGATACATATATTGCAAGATTATAAATCATACTTACTGCTGTTTTACTGAAACACAGATCACACTCATTCCTGCAGCCCCTTTCCACTTTCTGAGTGCTGAAATGGGATGGTCTTTCTTCTGTAGTTACGTGATCAACCCCAGTGTTGTAATAAAAGAAATATTAGTGGAACAACCATATGAGCTGGAAATGACAATTCTAAGGAACCTCTTTACACTAGCAGTGTACAGAACTGACACAAAAAGTACAAAATACTTGTGTAGCAATTATATACCTTAAACTATTTTTAAATGAAAATGGATTGCCCTTTAAAAGGAAGAAGTCCATGTTAACACTGATGGTATATCTGGTGAAGTCAGGTAAAATACATTTCTCCCACATTCTATTTTTTTTTTGTTCAGCTGTCCTTGAAGATAATTGTAAATGAAGATGAACTGGAACAAAAGTGGAAAGATCTTTGCTTACCCCAAGCTCAACTGCAAAGTATTTTGGAACTGGATAATTTTGGGAGAGAAGTGGAATGGCTAAAGTTTTTGGCTCTTGCCTGTAGCACTCTCGGTGGGGTAAGTTGTCTTCAAGCTCCTAGAGAATTAAAGTGATTCTAAAGACTACTTTTTTAACCTAAAATAAAAAAAGGAGGTTTATACATTCCTGCTTTGTGCACTAGTATTACATAGAGCAGCCCCTGCCGGCGTTCTCCACTCCACTTGCTATGAGGGCAAACTGTGGGCTCACTCCCGAGACGGTTTGTGTGCGATGATAGACACATACAGCGTGGCTCAGTTCTGCCCCCTGCTCCCAACTCACTGGATTTGATTGACAGCAGCAGGAGCCAATGGCTTCCACCACTATCAATCTGCCCTGTGAGCCCAGGAAGAGAGAGCAGCACTGCTGCAGTCGGGCACAGCACTGGATCAATACAGAATTCAGGTAAGCATTGAGAGGGGGAGCAAACAGCTTTATCTAAGTATTGTGACATATCCTAGAGGAGAGGGAGGTTGTTTGTCCCATAAATTGTATCATAGGTCAAGAAAAGATAGATTCCCAGCTAAAGGAGTCTTGAGGTTAATGCATAATTAGGTTGCTGTGAATATGGGGGGTAAGATCTCTGGATTTGGTCGAGCTCACACATAAGCCAGACATTTCACTGAGTGCAGAGAGTATTGAGAATAAGTTAGGCAAAGTAGTGTGTGGATTAAAATGTCATCAGCAAAATACAGACTTGAGGTGAATGATCACAATTTCTATTCTTTGGAAATTATGATTGTTTATAAAGACCAATACTAAGGACTCTAGGGCTAAGAAAAATTTATTGTGTGAGAGGGTCATTGTTGCCTGGTGCATCTGTGGATTTGATAAAACACTAGAAGAGAACCTGCTGTATCTCATGAAGTATTTGAGTTAGAGTAGAGAGCAAATGCATATGAAGAAGTCCTTGTGAAAGCCACATTTGAGTAGCGCAATGGTGAGGTACAGTTGCAAGATACTTTTGTAACCCTTTCCAGCTTCATGCAAGTCAACAATTCTTGATTGTAGGCCTTCTGTGAGCTCTTTTCTGCGAGGTTGGTTCACATCAGACAGTGCTTCTTGAAACCAGTAAACCCAAAACAGGTGTGTATGTTTTTTAGGGGGAAGGACAGCTGTCAGCAACACACATCCAATATCATCACACTGATTGGAGTCAATTAAGCCATGGCAACATCTAATGTTTGTGTAGTATTATGTTCAGCAGACTGTGTGTTCTTCTATTGTTGTGACTTAGATGACGTTTCAGAGCACATTTTATGCCCAATTCATGCAAAACTCCACGTAATCCCAAGGGGTTCACATATTTTTTCTTGCAACTGTAGTTCCAAGAAAGCATATTAACTGCTTTGCATACAGTTGTGTCCAAAATTATTCAACGCCCCACTGAAATGTGAGTGTTTTTGGCCAGTTTGACATTGCTTTTGATCATTCAGTCATCTTGCTTACATTTACATTAAAGAGGCACTTGTAGGGCAGACAAATATAACATAACAGTTATAATGAAATAACCACAAATGTCTTTTTCTGTGCTCACAGCATTATCAGTTTTATTCAACCCCCAAGTGACATTCAATTTTAGTACTTAGTACAGCATCCTTTTACAGTTATAACAGCTTTTTAAACGTGAAGCATAGCTTGACACAAGTGTCTTGCAGCGATCTACGGGTATCTTCGCCCATTCTTCATGGGCAAAGGCCTCCAGTTCAGTCACATTCTTTAGGCTTGCGCACTGCAACTGCTTTCTTTAAGTCCCACCAGAGGTTCTCAATCGGATTTAAGTCTGGTGACTGCGATGGCCACTCCAAAATGTTCCAGCCTTTCCTCTGCAACCATGCTCTAGTGGACTTGGAGGTATGCTTGGGATCATTGTCCTGTTGAAAGGTCCAACGTCTCCCAAGCCTCAGGTGTGTGACGGACTGCATCACGTTTCCATCCAATATCTCCTGGTACTGAAGAGAATTCATGGTACCTTGCACACGCTGAAGCTTCCTTCCCTGTACCTGCAGAAGCAAAACAGCCCCAAAGCATGATTGACCCTCCACCATGCTTCACAGTAGGCAAGGTGTTCTTTTCATCATAGGCCTTGTTCTTCCTCCTCCAAACATAGCGGTGATCCATGGGCCCAAAACAGTTCTAATTTTGTTTCATCAGTCCACAGAAACACTATCCCACAACTTTTGTGGTTTGTCCACATGGCTTTTGGCATACTGCAGTCGACTCTTCTTATTCTTTGGAGACAGCAAGGGGGTACGCCTGGGAGTTCTGGCACGGAGGCCTTCATTACGCAGTGTGCGTCTTATTGTCTGGGCTGAAACTTCTGTACCCCAACATCTGACAATCTTTTCTCAGTTCCTCAGCAGTCCACACGGGGACTTCTCTCCACTCTACGCTTCAGGTAGCGCACAGCAGTCGAAGTCAGCATCTTCTTTCTGCCACGACCAGGTAGCGTTTCAACAGTGCCCTTTGCCTTGAATTTGCGAATGATGCTTCCTAAGGTGTCTCTTGGTATGTTTAACATCTTTGCAATCTTCTTATAGCCATTGCCCTTCCTTGTGAAGAGAAATCACCTCTTCTCTTGTCTTCCTGGACCATTCTCTTGCCTTCACCATGTTTGTAACCACACCAGTAAATGTCTAGAAGGAGCTGAGTATCACAGTCATTTTAAAGCTGCCTAATTGGTGCTTATTATGCTTGATTGCTGCTCGGTGACATCCACAGGTGTTTTCAATACCTGATGGAAAGCACCTGTATGAACCTCTGTTCTTCAGAGTGGTAGTCTTTAAGGGGTTGAATAATTGTGGCAATGAAGAAACCACATAAGAACCATTTACTACTGTATTACATAAACAATTGATGTCATTTTAGTTGCATTTGGGTAGTTACAACGTCCTTGTAGGATTTGATTCTGAATACAATTCCAAATGTACACTATAGTCCCTAAACCCCTTTTACAGCATTGGGGGTTGAATAATTTTGGACACAACTGTACATTCAGAGATGATAACATAATTTTTAAAGAGCAGGTATATATTATTTCGATAAATGGGATCACCTCTTGTTCCCTGCCTGTCTTCGAGGAATGAAAACCACTTAGTCCCTATGAATGATCTTGCCTAAGAAGGAGTTCAGTCTAGTTTCCAGTCCCTTGACCAAAATACAAATCTGGCAAAAGGGAATTGTCATTTTTTGTTTATAACAGTTTATTGGATGGCAACAAAATTACAGCTAAAGCAAGTAGGCATAAAAGTAACAAAGAAAATTGGCGTACAAGTTTACAATACCAGAATGAGACAGGTACTGATGACAAGTGGACAGATCAGTGTACAACATATCAATTCACAATGCAATTAAGCTCAGAGTAGAATAGTAAAACATTCAAATATTCAGGTCATCCCCAGGTACCGAGACAGGAAACAAAGAGGGGGGGGGGGGGCAAGAGAGAAAAAAGAAAAAAAAAAGGGGGGGGGGTGACAAGTGTGGTGTCAGACCCCAGCCCCTTCTCACCAAACTCGTGACCGAAGGACTAGCCAATCTAAAACCGCGATGTCACGTGCGTAACAATGCCACACCCAGCTGCACCCTGCACACCGATTTTGCAGCTAATTGGACCACAATCGGCATACCAGCAGCCTGAATGCGATTGTTACTGGGTCAGGTTAATTACGCAATTAACCCTTCACACTGCCACCACCTCCTTTTTATACAGAGAAAGAGGAAACTCAGCAATACACTAGGATGATTGGTTAACCATCAGTATCCCGCTATCTCTACAGACCGGTTATATACAGAGGGTTAAATACTCATAGTAGCGCTCTTCAGCGGCAGGGATTCGTAAGTTACATTCAGGAGCTATAGAAACAGTTCAACACTTTTAGAAAGTAAGATTTATTACCAAAAGGTCGAAAGGGTGCAGTAAAAATATTTACAGAAACAAGATGTAACCAATATATATATATATATATATATATATATATACAGAGCACAACAGCGCAGCAAACAGATAACAGAAAGAAGTTTAGGCAAATATGTACTTGCCAAATAAATGCCTGGGCTTAAGCAGTTTCAAGTCTGATGAGCTAATAAGGGATTTCTGGTCTCGTACTCAGTTTCGTTGGTACAGGGCGATTCTCCTTTCCTCTCGGTTTGCTAGATCGTAAAATGCAGAATGTCCTCACTTCTCTGACTACACCCAAAACATAACAGCTTCTTTTTCCACACAACATCAACTGGTATCTTCCTATCACGGACAAGCCAATACTTTATTTCGCAAGAGGATTGTTTTAAACAGCTACACTGACCGCATTCCTGAGGGAGGGGGCGGAATGAGGGGATACAGAAGACTTCTTAATACAGTGGGAGCCTGTGCCTGGCTCTTGTATGCACGATACTACACCTTCCCCTCCCTCAGGTGATGGCATATGAGTTTAAGAGCAATACCAAAATGTAGAAGTTTGAGGTCAAATGGAGAACCGCACCTCTCCCTGTGGGCATGATTGTGACGGGGTTTCAATGGAGGTGATCCCGTGGCAATTAGAGTAGGGCAATTCAGTAGGCCATAGCGTTATGTCTCTGGCCTTGATCCAGGTTCCCCATATTTTTTGTAATTTTGTGAGGCAGTTACAACCCGGATACGTGAGTTTATATAGAGGCAACACTTGGTTAACCAAAGTACACCACTGTTGCAGTGTGGAGGGAGTATGTATCTTTCATTTAAGAAGAATAGAATAATATAATGCATAAAACAAAAACAATCTTTTGTAATGGGTAGTATTAAATGTATCACAGATGCTTAACCAATTCCATACCGGACACTTTTACCCCCTTCCTGCCCAGGCCATTTTTCAAGTCTCAGCGCTCTCACACTTTGAATGACAATTTTGCGGTCATACAACATTGTACCCAAACTAAAATTTTAGCAATTTCTTCACACAACTCGAGCTTTCTTTTGATGGTATTTAATCACCACTGAGGTTTTATTTTTGCTAAATTAACAAAAAAAGAACAAAAAATAAAAAAAAAAACACGTTTTCTTTGTTTCTGTTATAAAAATTTGCAAATAAATAATTGTTCATCATAAATTTAGGCCGAGATGTATTCTGCTACATGTCTTTGGTGAAAATAACCCAAATTAGGATGTATTATTTAGTTTGTAGGAAAGTTATAGAGTTCACAAACTATGGTATAGATCTGAAAATTGATCAATCCTGAAGTACTGACAGCCAATCTAATTTCTTGAGGTCCAAGAATGTCAGAACAGTACAGATATCCCCAAATGACCACTTTTTGCAAAGTAGACAGTCCGACGTACTTCATAAGAGGCATGGCGAGTTTTTTGAAGTTGTATTTTTTTTGTCAGAATTTTTCGGAAAATGAAAAAATGTTTAAAATTATTTTCACTATTTCTTTTTTACATACTGTCACCAGTGCAGTACAGCGTCATCATATAACTGGCATGGCGGTGATCAGGGACACTGACTGGTGAAAGTATGAAAAAAAGAAATTAATTTTTTTTAAATGTTTTTATTATTTTTGATTTTTTATTACATTTTTTTCTTTTTTTTAAGACTTTTTTTCATATTTCACTATGATCAAAGTATTACAGTGTTACCATAGTAACATTGTACTACTTTGGGGAAGTGATCAGTATTTTTTTTTTTTTTACACAATTTGCTTACAGCAAAGAATTACTTTGCTATAAGCAAACATTTACCTGAATGACATCAATTCATTCAGGGCTTTTTTTTTTGTGCTTAGCTGTGCTTTGGCCACGGCTAATCACATGACACAGCTGGGCTGTGATTGGCCCAGCTTGTGCATGTGATTGCTGTGACCATTCACAGCTAGGCACACTAGTATACAATGGATGGCATGAATGAAGCCATCCATTGTATACAACTGTCATGTGACCTGCTGTGATTGGTCACATGGTACCGGCAACGGGGCTGGTACTCAGATCTGTCATCGGCCGTGTCCGAGGTACACGGCCGGTGACAGATCGCGCCGCTGCACCATATGGCGTCCTCCCGGAATGCTGAGGAATTTTGCCGGCCGCCATCTGGCCATAGGCCGGGCAGGTAAAGGTTAAGAGGATGATTAACGGGTCCAAAGGTACCTCCAATGCATTTAAGGAACTCAGGTCAGAAACCACCTGGCTCCAAAAAGATTGTATAGCAGGGAAAGACCAGACTATGTGTATAAAAGTACCAACATCCCCCTTACATTTAGGATATGTAGGATCTAGCGTAGGGTATATCAAAGAGAGACGTTGGGTGGAATAATATACCCTATGTAGAAATTTAAGTTGATTCCATCTATCCCTTGTAGAGATCGTAAGGGTGATATATTGCTGAACACCCTCTTCCCAATCCGTCAGTTGGGCAAGTCGGGGTTCCACACATCGTAGAGACGAATGACCTTAGAAGTATCTGATTATGCCAGACAAAGATTTGTAGAGGAGAGTGGCTTATCTAGTTGATTGGGAATTATCATGTTTAAAAGGAATCAACCATTTCAATAGCCGATACTTTCACCCCCATTTTGCCAAGGTAAATTTTCAGTTTTCAGGGCTGTCACATGAAAAAATAACAATTTTTCTTTGTTTCTGTTAATAAAATTTGCAAAAAAAAAATAGCCTTTCTTCATAAATGTAGGCCAAAATGTATTCTGCTACATTTCTTTGGTGAAAATAACCCAAAACAATCTATATTATTTAGTTTTTAGGAAAAACTATTGTATATATATTTGAAAATCGATCAATCCTGATGTACTGACATCTCATTTCTTGAGGCCTTAAACTGCCAGGACAGTACATATACCCCCCAAATAACCCTTTTTTGAAAAGTAGACGGTCTGCGGTATTTAATTAAGAGTTATAGTGAGTTTTTTGAAGTTATACATTTTTTTATCACATTTTTTTAAATTTGTCTTTTTTCACAATTTTTTTTGTTTTACATACAGCCACCAGAGCAGTACGGTACTGGTGGTGGTGGTGGGGGGGGGGGGGGGTGAGCAGGGACACTGACAGGTGACAGTATGGATAGAAATTATATTTTTTTTCAATTCTTAAAACTTTTTTCTTGTTTTACATTTTTTTGTTTTATTATGGTTTTTTTTTACAATTTTTTATACATACTGTGACCAGAGCAGTGCAGTATTACCATTGCAACACTGTACTACTCTGGGGAAGTGACCAGGATTCTTTTTTTTTTTTTACACTATGATTAATTATAACAGTGATGATCACTCTAATAGGCAATAATGTTTTTGAATGGCATTCATTCATTCATAGCCATTCATTGTGTACTATTGTGATAGCTGTGATTGGCCACAGCTATCACATGTTACAGATGCACTGTGATTTTTTTTTTTCCCCCTCTGTACCATGTGGTCACTGTGACCAATCACAGAGATCATTACAACAGTACATAACGAATGGCTATCAATGAAAGCCATTCATAGTTAAGAACTGTCATGTGATCGCTGTGATTGGTACAGCAATCACAAGGCCTGGTATGATGATCTGTCATTTGTAGACACAGCAGGTGACAGATCGTGCTGCAGTGCCACCCCTAGGAAACATACAAGGCATTTGACTGGGAGGACATCCACCCAGGGAGGAAAAGCTCCCGCTCGTCCATCAGTTGTCTATAGGCTGGGTGATTAAAGATGTGCGTTAAATGCGGCATTAAAATTTAAGATTTTTTTTCTAAAATGGAACTTAGTATCTGGGACATAGTATCTGTCAGGTTTAGGCTTCTTGATTGGCTTCATGGACATAAAGCAGAACTAAACCCATTAGTTTAACTGTTTCCCAAAACAGGTACATTTAAGGCAAGCGATAAATGATAACAGTCACAAGTGCTTGTGCTCTCAACGACTGTGAAGCCATCAAACTGGTGTCATAACTGTTCACATGTGCAGCACCATGGCAACTGCAGTTCTAGCTGAGCTCAGCTAGAGAAGGAGACCACACACTGCGTGTGCACAGAGTTTGAACGCTCAGAGCAGCTTGCTGCTTAGCAAAGCTTGAGCTGGTAGAGTACACTGTACACCAGGGGTGTCCAAACTTTTTTCAAAGAGGGCCAGATTGTATGAAGTGATCATGGCGGAGGGCCGAACATTTTTCCGAACATTCTTTGAACCATTACAATTAAATGCAAATAAATTATTTTATGCCAAGTTAATTGCAAACGACATACTTTTCATTTCATAACATTAAGATCAACTGACAGCTGAGTTTTCACAATGTATTGAAAATAAATTTTAAAAAAAACTTACCTGCACTAATGTGAAGGGTGAAAAAGGTAGCTGGAGCTGAAGTCTCTGCTCGGCAGCCGGGAGGGGAAGAGAAACACACTTCACGCTGGAAGCCCGGCCCTGACGTCACCGCCCTCTGTCACTCCCAGCGCGGCGCAGTCACGCATGCGCACTGCTCTCAAGCAGAAGACTGTCTGCCACAGAAGGGAGGGCCGTGCGACAGCGGCATTTACACAGACCAGGGAGAACGCGCCGCAGTCAGGCATGCGCACTGCCCTCTGCTCTCAAGCAGAAGACTGTCTGCCATAGAAGGGAGGGCCGTGGGAGGGCCACATTACACAGAGCAGGGGGGGCTGTTGGAGGGCCGTATTAAACTGACCCCCAGGCCGTAAATGGCCCGCGGGCTGGACTTTGGACATGCCTGCTGTACACATATTCAGCTTGAAAGGCCTGGGGCAGCCACTAGGGGGAGCATTACTGTTATGTTCAACTGTCCAGCAAACCTAATAATTACTGCACACATAGCAAAACCATTCAGTTATAAAATTAAATTATGCTTCCCTTATTGATAGTGATACTACAAGTGTTTACTGTTTTTCATCTGCACACACAGACATATATTTTTCCTCTTTGCAGACAATTTCCATTGCACTGAAACATGCCTGTGAAATACTAACAGAAGACCCAGAAGGTGGTGCTGCTCGTATTCCTTTTGAGACATTCACATTCCTTTATAAGTATCTTGCTCAGGTTGATAGAGACATACCAGATACACAGATCGAGGAGGCAATTCTTGCTCTGCAGACTGAAGCGTAAGTAAAGCATTGTATATTGTGCCATGAGAGAAGCTGAGCTAATCTGACAAATTTAAAAATTATTTTTCATTAACTGGCTGCTTTAATATAGACTGTATGCAGTAAACTGCACCCAAAGGCATATTTCATACTTTGGGATAGCTATAACAAAACATAGCTGCATGCCCATAATGTCATAAAGTAATTAAAACTAATTGTAGAGTTACACTCGAAAGAGAGCAGCTGCTTTTGGGTCCCCTATTTTCCTGCACAGCCAGGCAACATGAATTTTCCACTCTTGCATCCAACGTCAGTGATCAGTCCATTACCTTGTTTTCATTGTTTTATTGAAAGTTAAACAACTTGGATGGGGTCTAGGGGTATATGGTATGCCCAATGGAAGTAAAACTACTTGGAGAACAATCTTCTATGTACAAGAAGCAAGAATTCAATCTTGGACTTTCTTCTCCCTCTGGAGCGGCTCTTGTCTCTTAACAGATCAGCACACAGTCCTTACTAGGAGCACTCTATTCCCTTAGATGAACCTCTTCAGACCCCAGATGAAAATCTTATCCACCTGGATGTCTTGAAAAGTATCTCAAAGCAAGGGATTCTGAGACACACAAGTATACTGTCTCAGGGAGAACTAGTTGAGTACAGCTCCTAACTACCCTCTCTGTTGTAGGCCCAGGGGGTGTAGAGGTACTCACATTCTCCTGTTCCTGTACCTTTACAGGTGAAACCGCTTTCAGGCCTTACGCTGGGCTGGTTTCTTCGCCTGCTGACAGGCTGCCCTTCCCTGTAGACTGTAGAACAGTGGAGGTCCCTCTTTCCAGCTCCCAGCCTGTAGGTAGATCCCTCTTCGTCAGGGCCCCCTCCCAGGCTCCTCACCAGCAGCACCTTCCTTAATCCATCTTCTACCAGACTCCTCTGCTGGCCAGGCCCTCTCATATTTATGGGCTGATCTCTCACACTGCCATTCCTCCTGCCTGGGATTGGTCAGATTCCCATGAGTATGCAGATAAGCCCCTCCTCACCTCCGCCTACTGGCTTCTAGAAACTTCTCCAAGTTTCTAGAGCAGTGGGAGGTACCAGAGGACTGACCTGTAGAGCCGTCCAGCCCTAACCTTAAATAATCTTGCTGACTTACACCCAGGCTTCTAGCAAGCCTCTAACTATACACAAAAACTGTCTGCACTAGAGGTCGCTACACAATAAAACTTAAATAGGTGTACTAAGTAACATGGAAAGAAAAAGTAAAATATATTTTCCTTTTTTGAAGGGATCATATAAAAGTAAAGTAAGCATGCTAATACCAGTCACAAATACACTTGAACAGCCTAGATTCTTTATATGTAAACAATATTGGGATGCCTGCCTTTACACGCACATGAACTATAATGGCATCCCAGTCTTAGTCTGTAGAGTTCAATATTGAGTTGGCCCCCGCCCTTTGCAGCTATAACAGCTTCAGCTCTTCTGGGAAGGCTGTTCGCAAGGTTTAGGAGTGTATTTATGGGAATATTTGACCATTCTTCCAGAAGCACGTTTGTAAAGTCAGGCACTGATGTGGACGAGAAGGCCTGGCTAACAGTCTCCGCTCATCCCAAAGGTATTCTATCGGGTTGAGGTCAGGACTCTGTGCCGGCCAGTCAAGTTCCTTCACTCCAAACTCGCTCATCCATGTCTTTATGGACCTTGCTTTGTGCACTGGTGCACTGTCATGTTAGAACAGGAAGGAGCCATCCCCAAACTGTTCCCACAAGGTTGAGAGCATGAAATTGTCCAAAATATCTTGGTATGCTGATGCCTTAAGAGTTCCCTTCACTGGAACTAAGGGGCCAAGCCCAATCCTTGGAAAACAACCCCACACCATAATCCCCCCCCTCCACCTAACTTTACACTTGGCACAATGCAGTCAGGCAAGTACCATTCTCCTGGCAACCGCCAAACCCAGACACGTCGGATTGCCAGACAGAGCAGCGTGATTTGTCACTCCAGAGAACACGTCTCCACTTAGAGTCAAGTGGCAGCATGCTTTACGCCACTGCATCTGATGCTTTGCATTGCACTTGGTGATGTAAAGCTTGGATGCACCTGCCCGGCCATGAAAACCCATTCCATGAAGCTCTCTATGCACTGCTGTTGTGCTAATCTGAAGGCCACATGAAGTTTGGAGGTCTTTAGCTATTGACTCTGCAGACAGTTGGTGGCATCTGCGCACTGTGTGTTTCAGCATGCGTTGACCCCCACTTTGTCATTTTACGTGGCCTACCACTTGGTAGCTGAGTTGCTGTTGTTCCCAGTTGCTTTAACTTTGTTTTAATACCATGCCTAGGTGATTGATTGTATACACCTGCAGCTACAGAGGTGATTGTAACACCTAAATCCAATGATTTGGAGGGGTATACCAATACTTTTGGCAATATAGTGGCCCGGCCTTGCTTTTTGCTGCTTCCTGTTTCTGGGCCACACCCTATTTAACCACTTGCCTACCAGGCACTTATACCCCTTCCTTACCAGGCCAATTTTCAGCTTTCAGCGCTGCCGCACTTTGATTGACAATTGCGCCGTCATGCAACATTGTACCCATATGAAATTTTGATCATTTTTTTCTCACAAATAAAGCTTTCTTTTGTGGATTTAATCGCCACTGGGCGCTTTACTTTTTGCGCTATAAATTAAAAAAAGTGCAAAAAATTTGAAAAAAAAAAAAAAGTTTATTTGTTTCTTTTATAAAATTTTTCAAACAGGTATTTTTTCTTCTTCACTGATTTGCGTTGATGAGGCGGCACTGATGGGCACTGATTAGGCGGCACTGATGGGCACTGATAGGCAGCACTAAAGGGCACTGATAGGCAGTACTAATGAGGTGGCACGGATAGCCTGATAGACAGCACTGATAGGCGGCACTGATAGGTGACCATGATTATGGGTACTGATAGACGGCACTAAATCACTTCTGGCACTGACTGGCGGCACTGACTGGCACAACCCCTGGGCACTGACTGGTGGCACTGACTGGCAGCACTGCTGGGCTGCACTGGTGGGCACCACTGGTGGGTGGGCACAGGTAGGTGGCACTGGTGGCCAGGTGGGTGGCACTGGTGGGCACAGGTGGGTGGGCACAGGTGGGTGGCACTGCTGGCACATGTAGGTGGCACTTCTGGGCACAGGTAGGTGGCACTGCAGAGTGGCACAGGTGGGGGCACTGCTGGGCACAGGTGGGGGCACTGCTGGGCACAGGTGGGGGCACTGCTGGCATGGGTGGGCGGGGCTAGTGGGCGCACTGCTGGGAGGAACTTGCGGGGGTCACTGCTGGGCACCGATCATCAGGGCACTGATCATCAGTGCCCTGATGATTGCCGATCCCCGCTCTGACAACTGCCGGTTCTCGGCAGTACTTTCCTCACGATCTGACAGCGTGAGGAAAGTGCAGCCGATCGAAACCGGCACTTGCATTTTCCTGTGATCAGCGTGTCATTGGACACCGCTGATCACGTGGTAAAAGGCCGTCATATGACGTCCACCCAGAACTAGCCGGCCGCGGTGCAGCCGTCATTCGGCTATGGCGGTCGGCAAGTGGTTAAAGTGAAAGCCTAAGTGTAGTCAAAATAAAAATACAAATATCAACACAAGGGACATGGCTTTCTATTATTGTGCTGTGTCCCTTGACCTGCTGGCTCCTGGTTTTCTTGAAATCCTCCTTCATTGTCCCCCACAGCCCTCTCTGGTGTGGGAGGGGTTAAATAAAACTGAGAGAGATGCCATGTGCACTCATTAAGAGTGTCCAACTACTATGCTTGCCTTTTCCACAAGTGCTCCACCATTCATAAAAGCTGGTACTAGGCTTCTGTGAATGAGACACCATCTGTGAATGGAAGGTGTGGGCTTTTCAGTCATACACCCATCCTCTATTCATAGATCCTGTTGTATGCATAGGCTAACGTTTTCTTATAAAAGAATACTCTCTTCCCCAATGGAGTAGACCCTTGCTGACTCGCTCTCTTCAAGGTCAAGCTTCTGGGTTGAATGATACCCAGCATCAGGAAAATCGGGGTGACTAAAAGTGGGAAGGAGGGCACTGGAGTTGGGCTTTAACATTTTATGGTACTGGTGCATTATTACCAGAATAAATGGAGTATTGCTGACAGATTTATGAAATGTATGTTGTTTTTTATAAATGAACAGTGATAACATTTGCCAAAATAATATGCAGTACTTTGTGAGACGTGCGATATATACACTGCTCAAAAAAACTAAAGGAACACTTTTTAATCAGAGTATAGCATCAAGTCAATTAAACTCCTGGGATATTGATCTGGTCAGTTAAGTAGAAGAGGGGGTTGTTAATCATTTTCAGCTGCTTTGGTGTTAATGAAATTAACAACAGGTGCACTAGGTGGGCAACAATGTGACAATCCCCAAAACAGGAATGGTTTTACAGCTGGAGGCCACTGACATTTTTTTCCCTACTCATCTTTTCTGACTGTTTTTCACTAGTTTTCCATTTGGCTAGGGTCAGTGTCACTACTGGTAGCATGAGGGAATACCTGGACCCTACAGAGGTTGCACAGGCAGTTCAACTCCTCTGAGATGGCACATCAATAACGTACCATTGCCAGAAGATTTGCTGTGTCTCCCAGCACAGTCTCAAGAGTATGGTGGAGATTCCAGGAGACAGGCAGTTACTCTAGGAGAGCTTGGCAGGGCCGTAGAAGGTCCTTAACCCATCACCAGGACCAGTATCTGCTCCTTTGTGCAAGGAGGGACAGGATGAGCACTGCCAGAGCCCTACAAAATGACCTCCAGCAGTCTACTGGTGTGAATGTCTCTGACCAAACAATCAGAAACAGACTTCATGAGGGTGGCCTAAGGGCCCGACGTCCTCTAGTGGGCCCTGTGCATTTGCCATTGAGCACCAGAATTGGCAGGTCCACCACTGGTGCCTTGTGCTTTTCACAGATGAGAGCAGGTTCACCCTGAGCACATGTGACAGATGTGAAAGGGTCTGGAGAAGCTGTTATGCTGCCTGTAACATCGTTCAGCATGACCATTTTGGTAGTGGGTCAGTGATGGTCTCGGGAGACATATCCATGGAGGGACTCACAGACCACTACAGGCTAGACAATGGCACCATGACTGCCACTAGCTAGCAGGATGAAATCCTTGCACCCATTGTTAGACCCTGCGCTGGTGGGTATAGTGGGTCCTGGGTTCCTCCTGGTGCACGAAAATGCCTGGCCTCATGTGGCGAGAGTATGCAGGCAGTTCCTAGAGGATGAAGAAACTGATACCATTGAATGGACCCCATGCTCGTCTGACCTAAATCCAATAGAACGCCTCTGGAATATCATGTTTCGGTCCATCCGACACCCCCAAGTTGTACCCCAGACTGTCCAGGAGCTCAGTGATGCCCTGGTCCAGATCTGGGAGGAAATACCCCAGGACACCATCCGCTGTCTCATTAGGAGCATGCCCCGATGTTGTCAGGCATGCATACAAGCACATGGGGGCCATACAAACTACTCAGTACCATTTTGAGTTGCTGCAATGAAATTTCAGCAAAATGGACTAGCCTGCTGCATCATTTTTTCACTTTGATTTTCAGGGTGTCTTTGAATTCAGTCCTCTGTAGATTGATAATTTTCATTTTCATCAAACAATGGGGCATCCTTCTGTTCCCAGAACATTACCCAGCCCATATCAGTATAGATATCCAACATGATATTTTTCCTCATTGAGATCTGATGTGTTTTCAAAGTGTGCCTTTCATTTTTTTGAGCAGTGTATATATATATATATATATATATATATATATATATATATATATATATATATATATACACACGGGGCGTACTGACCATTCGAGAACTCGGGCACTGCCCGAGGGCCCGGGGTCAGTAGGGGGCCCCATGAAATGCCCCTGGTACTTTTTTATAGGCTTTTTTTGAGTGTGGGCAAGGACAGAGGGGCCCCATGATCCCCTATTGCCCGGGGGCCCCATGAGTTGTCAGTCTGCCCCTGTATATATATATATATATATAGTCTGCTATACTATTAATATTATAAGAGGAAATAGAGGGCCCTGCTTGTTAGAGCTTACAACCTAGGAGGGAGGGTTGAGTGATACAAATAGTAATAGCTGTGGGGGATGAGCTGATGGAGGAAGTAAAAAGCAGTTTACTAGTTAGAAGCAGGATAGGCTTCTTTAAAGAGAAGGGTTTTCAGGGATCTTCTAAAGGTTCTAAAGGATAGATTAGGACATAGTCTGACAGATTGTGGTAAGGAGTTCCATAGGATGGGAGAACCTTGGGAGTAGTCCTGGAGGCGAGCATGGGAGGAGGTGACACAGGAACGGGAGAGCAGAAAGTCTTGGGAGTATTGAAGAGACAGGTTTGGTTGATATTTTGAGACCAGGTTGGTGATGTAGCTGGGGCAGAGTCGTGAATGGCTTTGTAAGTTGTTGTTATTGCATTTTGAATTTTATTCGTTGGGTGAGTGGAAGCCAATGGAGGGATTGGCAGAGAGGGGTAGCAGACACTGAAAGGTTGGTAAGGTGGATGAGCCTGGCAGCAGCATTCATGATGGACTGAAGGAGGGATAGCCTATGTAAAGGTAAGCCAATGAGGAGGGACTTGCAGTAGTCGAGGTGAGAGATAATCAGAAGCTTTGTGGTATCATTGGTTAAAAAGGGGCGTATTCTGGAGAGAGGTTGACACGGCATGATTTGGACAGGGATTGGATGTGGGCCTGATGCACTTTGAATAATTTATTGGTAAATAATGTTGAACAGTAACCTGATTCTAATTAAAAAAATTCCTTTATTTTTAGGAAAAAGCAAGATGGAATGATCCAGCCCAGAAACTTTTTAAGTGCCCTTTGTCCTCCTCTGTCTTAAATATTAAATTGTAATATAGAATGAACACATCTGAAATGTGAACAGTGACTGCAGAAAGGTTCTAGCAAAATAAAGATGACTCATAACAACACTGAATTGGATTAATAGATTTTACAATAAATTAAATAGTAATCGACTTTTGCCAGGATTATGATGAAGATGGTACAGTAACAGGTAAAGGAAATTTCTCTTGACAGAACTTTCAGTGCTTTCACTGCTATTTAATTTACAAGTTGTTAGCTCCCAAGCTGTCAATCTCATCCTTTATCCTCCCTATGTAGTGAGATTCTGACTTAGATAATTGATCCAGTAAAGTTATAGGTCCCAAGCTGCGTGCTTATTCTGGGACATTGACATGAATACATAGGCAACCAGCAAAATCTATTAATACAATTGCAGTGGCACTTTACATTTTTCATTCATAAACTTACTATGACTTGAAAAAGGACTCATGTCCATCAAATTCAACTTTTTACAGAAGCAAGTAGAAGACGACAAAACAGAAATAATTAAAAAATTATGCCCCATGACCCCACAATGGCAGACAGACCAACCTTCTAGATCAAATGATTATTACGTTATATTTTAATAAATATAATTGTGGGTACCATTAGTTAAAAAAAAAAAAACATTTTTTTAGCCAGGTGCAGATGAAATCTTGCATATGAAATGTTACATCCCTTCAGCAAGTAGAGCTCTAGATTCCTTTTTACATTTGTCAAGCCAGCCTTTCCCATTTTGCAAAAAAGCTTGTTTGCAGACATCAGTAGTACAAGCTGAATGAGTCAAAGGAGTGACCCATTCTTCTCCCTCCCCCTCCCTGTACAGACAGGGCAATAGAGAGGGTCAGTTCAGAGAGTGATTATCTAAAATAAACAGCTTGTGCCCTGCTGTCTCCTTAGAACATCTATAATGTTCTTTGAATCCCATATCATTAATGTATTTTGCTTTAAATGTCTATTTGTAAAATAAAGAATGTATACACATAAAACATAAGATACTATACATGTGTGTACACAGTATACACATACACATATACATATGCAATATATACATATATGTATTTATATATACAGTGCATATTACAGGTGAAACTCGAAAAATTTGAATATTGTGCAAAAGTTCATTTATTCAGTAATGCAACTTATAAGGTGAAACTAATATATGAGATAGACTCATTACATGCAAAGCAAAGGTAGTTCAAGCCGTGATTTGTCATCATTGTGATGATTATGGCTTACAGCTCATGAAAACCCCAAATCCACAATCTCGGAAAATTTGAATATTGCATGCAATCAATAAAACAAGGATTGTACATAGAACAATATTGGACCTCTGAAAAGTATAAGCATGCATATGTACTCAGTACTTGGTTTGGGCCCCTTTTGCAGCAATTACTGCCTCAATGCGGCGTGGCATGGAAGCTATCAGCCTGTGGCACTGCTGAGGTGTTATGGAAGACCAGGATGCTTCAATAGCGGCCTTCAGCTCTTCTGCATTGTTTGGTCTCATGTCTCATCTTTCTCTTGGCAATGCCCCATAGATTCTCTATGGGGTTCAGGTCAGGCGAGTTTGCTGGCCAATTAAGCACAGTAATCCCACGGTCATTGAACCAGGTTTTGGTGCTTTTGGCAGTGTGGGCAGGTGCCAAGTCCTGCTGGAAAATGAAGTCAGCATCTCCATAAAGCTCGTCTGCGGAAGGAAGCATGAAGTGCTCCAAAATCTCCTGGTAGACGGCTGCGTTGACCCTGGACTTAATGAAGCACAGTGGACCAACACCAGCAGATGACATGGCTCCCCAAATCAACACAGACTGTGGAAACTTCACACTGGACTTCAAGCATCTTGCAATGTGTGCCTCTCCATTCTTCCTCCATACTCGGGGTCCTTGGGCCTCTCTCTCATTTTTCCATTCTCTATACTTGGGGTCCTTGGGCCTCTCCATTCTTCCTCCATACTCGGGGTCCTTGGTTTCCAAATGAGATGCAAAAGCTGATCTCATCAGAAAAGAGGATTTTGGACCACTGAGCCACCGACCAGGTCTGTTTTTCTTTAGCCCAGGTAAGACGCTTCTGGCGTTGTTTGTTGTTCAGTAGCGGCTTGACAAGAGGAATACGACATTTGAAGCCTATGTCCAGGATCCGTCTGTGTGTGGTGGCTCTTTGATGCACTGACTCCAGCCTCAGCCCACTCCTTGTGAAAGTCCCCAACACTTTTGAATGGCCTTTTCCTGACAATCCTCTCCAGGCTGCGGTCATCCCTGCTGCTTGTGCACCTTTTTCTTCCACACTTTTCCCTTCCACATAACTTTCTATTAATGTGCTTTGATACAGCACTTTGGGAACATCCAACTTCTTTTGCAATTACCTTTTGAGGCTTTCCCTCCTTATGGAGGGTGTCAATGATGGTTTTCTGCACAACTGTCAGGTCAGCAGTCTTTCCCATGATTGTGATTCCTACTGAACCAGACTGAGAGACCATTTAAAGGCTCAGGAACCCTTTGCAGGTGTTATGGCTTAATGAGCTGATTAGAGTGGGACACTTTGAGCCGAGAATATTGCACCTTTTCACAATATTCTCATTTTCTGAGATTGTGGATTTGGGGTTTTCATGAGCTGTAAGCCATAATCATCACAATGATGACAAATCACGGCTTGAACTATCTTGCTTTGTATGTAATGAGTCTATCTCATATATTAGTTTCACCTTTTAAGTTGCTGCACTGAAATAAATGAACTTTTGCACGATATTCTAATTTATCGAGTTTCACCTGTATATTAACCTTCCTTTTTTCCATAGGCAACCAATTTTCCCAATCTTTATATTGTACCTTAGTTATACTTATATACATTTAATTAAGGGTAAACCTTAAAATGATAAGTTCACCTTTTAAAAAAATAATAAATGCACATTTTTGCAAGTAAAAAATGTGCATGTATTATTTTTTTTTTATTAGGAGCCTGTAAAGCATTACTCCCATGATCAGCAGATTGCAGGTGCAATGCTAGGCTCCTACAGACTGTCAGTGTAGGTTGTTTGCTTGTACCTCGTAAGGGCAGGCAGTTACTCACCAGCACTATGGGAGTTCATTGAAAACTACAAAAAGCTGTCAGCCGCAAAGGCTGATGGTGGTTGTAGTTTTCCCATCCACAGAACTCCATGAATTATTATTATTTTTTTTTTATTGTAAAAGCGAGTGCAGGGAGAAGATCCCCAGCTCACTGTCACTAGAGGCAGTGGATCAGGAAGAGGCTGCAGAAGTGGGAACAGGTTACGTTACAAAACCTATCATTTAAGGAGATATAAAAGACAGGTTAAAGCAACTTTTTAATTGTATGTATTTAGTGTACATATGTCAATTTGACTTGATATTAGCTTCTTCCAATTTCCTATACAGCAGCACTTAGGATAGAGAGCGGTAGAACTGTGCGTTACTCAGAATGCAAATGTGCTGACAAGAAAACATGCTGATAGGAGAAAAGGGGACTAGGAGGATTACCTTATCATTCTGCTGCTGCTCTTTTGTTGTTTAGACAGCAAGGGGGGCTGTAAAGAAGACACAACTGTACCATAAAAAGTAGCCTCATCTACCTGGCTATGCTGTGCAAGTAACAGGAATGGATGAACAGAAATACTGTATCAAATGTGTTCTATTCACAAGAAGGCAGATATCAATAGTTGGGGCTCAAATAATATATGAAACTAGAAAAGCTACAATTTCTGGGGAAATTGTGTGAAGTGTTCTTGCCTGCTCACACACCTAGGTTCCTATGGCAACTCACTCTACAGCAAGGGCAGAGAAGAGCGGTTAAAAACAAACTGCTCCAACTTGCTCACTTCACTGGCGATTGCCATCTTCAAACGGTTGTAGTTTGAAAATTATAAATCCTACACCAAAGAGCTTTATATTATGAGAATTACAAGACCCAGACCTACGTTTTGATGCATAGTATGTTTCTGAAATATTAAAAATGAAGGCACAGTCGCAGTTTAGAATTTGCCCTTCAAATTTGAGGTGGATAGAGTGGAGTTTCAATGAATGTCAATGGGTGGCGTGAGTTACAAACAAATGGTCATATTGTGAAAACTATCAGAACTATGGCTTAGCTGTGGACATTTTTAGTGGCAGCAGGGATAGCTGAACGTTTTGATATAAGATTTGTGTAGGTGGGCTTCAAAATGAGGGAGTGATGGCAGTTTAGAGATCATGTCCTGATTTTTCAGCTCACACTCTAGCTTTTGTCAGCTCCCACTCTAGTTTTGAACATTGCGCCATTCATTCCTATGGGACCAATTTCACCACAAAAACGCCGATATTTCGTGAACCATTCGGCGAAACGTTCCACAAAGTAATAGCACACAAATCGGGAACAATCCGCACGTTTCGGTATATTACTGTCTATGTAGTGTAAAAACTGTGGGAGGAGTTAGGGTGGTAAATGTGGCTATAATAATAAGAATATATATGTGAGATAACAGTAAGTGGTCGCCATGCAACAACACAGTTATGCTAATGTAAGACCTGGCGGGCATTACTTTCCTATTGTACGGTAAGTAGCTTTGCAACAGAACTCCCACTGTCACATAGCGTTCCACACATCCTTACCAATAAACAATTTGAAGGACAGGGAGGTCCAGCATCAAATTTTGAGTGGATGTTATTTCATTCATTTCTTTATATTGAACACATACCTGACATCCATTCTTGGTCACACTGTTCAGATACTAAACTAGCTAACATCTTTAATGGATGATTGGAAAACCAGTCAGTTGAACAATATATTGAATATATATATATGAATCTGTGGAATCTCAAGGTGTCAGTGCTTTCACTGAGATTTTCACCCCTTAGGTAAAACAATTACAATGGACTGGGAGCACTTCAGATTAGGGCCTGAATCCTAATTCACCCAAATCAAATCATTATCTGTACAATCCACTTCTATAGGAAAAATGAGACTACAAAACAAAGGAACAAGAATAGCACACTGGATTGGGCA